CATTTAACCTTGGACTTTTAACATAGCGAAAAACCTATTTGTAAAATTCGAGTAACAAACGACGACGTGGTGTGGTTGTTGTTTTGATGGGTTGATGTTTTAACTTTATTATTACATTATCACTAATTTTACTAGCGTTTAGTTTATAATAATAATAATAAATATTTTGGTACATACTTTACACAACGTTATCTAGTCCCAAACGAAGCAAAGCTTGTATAATGGATACTAGGTACCTGATAAACATACCTAAAAGTACTTTTCTTTTGTAATTAAATACTAATTATTACCACTACTACTATATGTAAATAACCAGACACTAAGAAAACGCTATGTTCATCACGCTATACTTTTTACAGTAGTGGGTATCGAACCCACACCCTCTGGCGCAAGAGACAGGGTCGCTATCCACTACGCCAATCGAGTCGTCAATACAGAGTTCTCTTTGCATTTAGCGTTCTTTACGTATGTATCTATAAACTTCTACCTTTCTTTATTCAATTTCTGTGTGTACACACTGTATTACTGCTTCCCATAGATTGTTATTGTGATGAACAATCTAAATGTGTATGTTTGTAAACGCAATATGGACGTTCCGCAACCGCTTCCTTTTCGTTTTACGCAAATAAACCGTTAACTACGTAACGGATTGTTATTCTCGTACAGTATGACGTAAGCGTTAACGGTGTCCTGAAAATATTCGTGTCGGTGTCTTGACCCTATCCGTGTGGAATTTTGCAATCCAAAGCGACGCAGTATTTTTAAAAATGTCGACATTAAAGTAACTTTCGAAAGTTATTTTCTTAGATGGAATTTTCCAATTATTCTTTCAATTATATTGTGAAAGTTTTAACATTCGGCCAACGCAAAGAGAGATAGTTTGGTTAAACTTGATTAGTTCGGCTTATGGGCATAATAAATTTGAATTGTATGAGATACCGAAGTTATTTCCTTTTATAATATACTCAGCTTCAGCTTTAACAGTTCTATAGGATCAAAGCAATGATGTGGTCTTTGGTTAAATTCTTGCCTTGCAGGTTGCAATTATTTGAGTTGTGTTGTGTGTTGTCTTAATACACGCTTGTATTATTTATTTGCATAGTTATGCCTATTTGGATTTTCACGTACGCGAACAACGAACCAAATAATATATTTCTTAGGACTATCGCCTTTGAGGACAAACATTGATAATTTCTTTCAACATGCGCGCATTTGTAGGAATCATTCTGTTAAATAACGTAACTTTGTTTTAACTGTGTTAGGGGCAGGCCACGTTACGGCTTCTGTTATTGCACGAATGGGCAGGCTCGATCTGGGAAGTACCCTGACCTCACAGAAGACCGGTGTCATGTGGTCAAGTGAAGATTTCTTTATTCAGCATAGGCTTATTTTAAGCTGTTATTGAACGTCAAAAACTACCATCGATCTCTAAACTAGACCTGCCTGTAAATTAATAGAAAAATTACGGTTAGTTAAGTATAAAATTAGCAGGAGCCAGGGAACTTGGCAAGTGCAGAGCAAGAGTCATTTCCATACATCCTTGTCCTCAATGTATCCTAGACATTATAATAGGCCTTTTCCATTAAGGGAGCTTTTACAAAATGTTAAAAAAGGAAGTACTTTCGCGTTTTATCTGTTGAGTGAGGTTACTGGAGTCCTGAGCAAGGTAGCTCAGGGCCCATAGGCGTAAATAATAGCTCGCCAGCTTTTCACGTGAAAAACGAAACTTTTATTTCGGTATTTGGCAACGTAGATAAAAGCTCGGATCTCCATCGATCCGAACGGTATCGCGAATCCAACAGAGCAGTATAAACACACCGGATCTAAACAATTGCGCAAACGGCCCGTAAACAGTCGGCAGCTCATAGCGTCTGTTTTATTACCCAACCGTACACTACGTACATCCTCATTCGCGGGCGGCGCGTTTGTATGTTGATACCGGAGTTGAGAACTGCGCGTATCGAAGACTTTCGACAGATGATATACTGTAATAAACAGTTGTTCGACAGATGTTGAGTAATACTATTTTTTTATATGAGCGTAGCGGCATACTTACTTAATTTTTTCATGTAGTTTTGTAACATTTTAAGCTTTATAAATGCTAGATCTTATTTTCTACATCTGCATTCCTTTCATATCACAGAGAAATCTCGCATATTTGCTATTCTATTTTTGATCAGTGAAGTGATCAATACAACTTGCTGCTAATGACGATAGATTACTAAGTTGCGTGTTTTAGGCGGCTGGACGGCAAAAAAAGTTTAGAAGTAGATGGTTAATTTTATTTCTCCGTCCACAGTTATATTTGGAATATCTATTTACATATATTATAGTAGTATGTAATATTACATCTTATCAAAAAGCGATGAAACAGACTTCCCGATTCTTATCTAAAAGTACAACTCCATTTAAAAGCTCAAATCAGCTCGATATGAACGCTGCCATTATTGACTGCCTCCAGATATGAGCAGTGCTGTTTGTTTTGCAGTGTATCAATAGAGATACTGCGATAGATTTATCTTTATACGGATTCGATACATTAAACATTACGATACCTTTGTTTCCGATATGCCTGCCGGCCACTACTTTTGTTTATACTTCGGTGTAATTGGCAACTGTGAGAACCTTCTAGAATTTCGGATTTCAATGTTAGTCTTTGTTTCAACTTTATTTTGTGAAACGCATTAACTTACGGTGGTACGGTATATAAATACTTGTATCCCGAAATTTTTATTTACGTATTATATATGCTGTATAGTTTTGTTTTGGTCATTTCGTCAATTGGTAATTTAGCTTCGTAAGTTATTACTATTTATTTTGCACAAAGAAAAACTACATCTATTTATTTTGAATCGACAATTGCGTTAATGTGCCATAAAAATTTGTATAGATATTTCCTTGATTAATTCTCTTGAGAAGATAAATACTTATACATCGTAACAGGCAACTCTGCCCTCCAGCAGTTTAGATCCTGTTTTTCGATTATACACAGTATTTTTTTGACATAGAGGTTGCTTCGGAATGTCCTTGGCAGAATTTCATCGTCCGCAGTATTTGCCCATTCATAATGCTATTGTTCACGATCCTCATTAGTGGGGGAACGACGAAGAAGAAGAAGAATTCTATTACAGTTGTCATATTATCCTCGGCAAGGATGTGGGCTTAGGATTAGGGCTATATTGTGATCTCACTTTACTTCCAGAGTTTTAGATAAGCATTTGGGCAATGAAGTATTAATAATTGGAATGGGGGACCTATCGTATACTGTATAAGCGGGAGTGGACTGCCTTCTGACATTCAGGATCTCCTAATTAAGGAACCGGGTCATCATTGACCCGCACCCTAATTTGTGTGTATTTTGTATAACTGATATTACGCTTTCAGTCCTTAGACTATTAAAGTTTCATCAAACGTAGAACTGGTGGGTTAGCCAGAACCCACGGGCTTGAGGCCCGCTTCAGTGGGTAGGGCCGTGGTACTCATGCATGCGTTAATTATGGCATGTCGCCTACGGGCCGTCGAGGTTCGGTGCCGACCGTGACTCCGATAGCCGTTGACTGTGCTTGGTTCGTCGGTGGCTGGGGGCGGTGAGAACCGCCCTGGAACGCGGGTGTATCTAGTGTACGCGTTCTGTTGGTTTCGCCGTGCTCGAAGGCGAGGACGCACTGTTATTTGTGAATATACTAACAGAGTGTGAAGTGTTATTTGGCGGGACCCCCGACGGTGGGTCCGACGTACTTAAATCCCCTTCCTCGACCGGGTCGGAGAGGACGTTGCGCGGGCGACGCTTGATGACGTTCGCGTTAGTGTCGGGTTGGTAATTGGCTGCGCTTACCACCAGAGGGTTGGGATGATGTTCGGCTCTCAATTTGTGTTCAATCAACAGTCGTTGTAGCCCAGTCTAAAGTTCTAAAGTCAGTCTGGCGTTCTTGTATATTTTCGAATATATTAGGTGTGGTGATATTAAATTTTTATAGTGCTAATCTTTGCACTTAAGATGAAACATTAAAATATTAATGTAAACTGCCTTTCAGCTTAGTGACTAAAGCCGTGTAGTCTAGTCGTGAATCCGAAACACATGGGTTCGCTTCTCACAGTCTGAACCTGTCAAAAATATGAAAGAAATTGTTTAAAAGATGTTTAAGTCCACTTATCCCCATTGGGGCCGCGTAGCGGATATACCTCGACACCATTTATAAAGATAGAAAAGCTCAGCTATCAGACCCATATGTGACTTTGTTTTAAATTTTATATTATTGCTATTAAAATATTGAAGTGTGAATGTTGAATAAGTCTATCAAATAGAGAGTGGGCATCTGTCGGATTGAATATTTCCCCCTTCAAAATGTTTGTCCTAATTACAATTAAATTTACCACAGCCTTGCGTAAGAGAAACTCGTTAATTTTGATTAGCCGGCATAAAACCGTTTTCATGTGGCAAAGTACTCTTAATGCGCCGTCGTCTCGATGTTGGCATTGCCATTCTGGCTTTTACGCTTTTCGCGACTTAAAAGCTTCTCCTCTTTGGAAAGTAATATTAATGACACGCCACACTATCTGCAAAGTTACTGTTGTACTTTTAAGCAGGCCCGACTCGAAAGTATTTTAACTCGAAACATTATCAGAATTTCATTTTGGTAGAATTAAATCCGATTTAGATTCGGCATTCCTATATTTACTTTATTTTTTTATTTCAAATTGTTAGACACACCGTTGTGGAATTTTGAGAATATAAGACAATAAATAACGCACTTTGAATCAGTTTACTATTTTCAGAGGTACTCATGACATAGACTTAACATTTTTATTACCATCGTATAAGTATAGATTACATTTTAACACGTTTCTTAATGTGGTTTCTGTTCTTCAGAAACATGGGTTAGGAGACCAGCGTAAAGTGGAAGCAACATATTTCTAATTTTGTATTTCATTCGTTGTTGGTTGAGCCTTCCACCTTTAGTGTTGCAAACCCCTGGTTTTCTTTATGGCCACATTCATTAAAATGATACAAAACGTATCATTTTTGTGAAATTGGCTATCGTTGAATCGACCATCGTTTCGAACACGCGAAGATCCCATCCCGTCGTCCACCATCTCGTCCACGAATGCCGCACTTGATATGCCAGCCGCGACACTTCGTCGTCATCTCTGGCGTACGCAATCATTTGTCGGTCGTGTGTCGTGACGCATGTGAAGAAGTTCATATTTGTATTCTTCCGAGACGAGTTATTCATGCGGGCTGGATGAGGGGGCGGTGTGTACTGCATGTACATATGCGGTTGTACTCGATTTGCGCCGTGCAATTAGAATTGTCGGTTGGCTACGTAATTAATCACATTGTCCTCTTAAGTTTACCTATGTCTGTTAATGTTAATGAACGAGTAATTTTATTTGGCCAGATTATCACGTGATATCATTTTTTCAGAGATCATCCGATTCCTTTTCGTGGTCAGCTAAAGATAGGAGGCCTCAGCTTATGCTAAGGTTTGTGATTTAAAAAAGAATATAACATAGAAGTCCTTAATGTTTTGAGCGCCTAACATTTACATTACCGCCGATTAATATAGAACCCACGTCTTTCGGATTCACGCCCAGTCGCTTTAACCACTAAGCTAAACGGTCTATTGCCACAGCGACAAAAAGTCTTTTATCCCTAAAAAACCCTACGGCGTATCTCCCTTTTTTGAAGGCACTCCCCTTGTTGCCACCGATTCGATCGGAATTCTTGGGGTCGATATATCGAGCAGCGTTCAATTTCGCGGTCACTTGGAAGGAAAAGCCAAGTTGGCTTCCAAAAAACTCGGTGTCCTAAACCGAGCGAGACAGTATTTCCTGCCGATACATCGGTTGCAGCTTTATAAAGCACAGATTCGGCCTCACATGGAATACTGTTCTCACCTCTGGGCTGGGGCACCGAAATACCAGCTCCTTCTATTTGACCGCATTCAACGAAGAGCTGCTCGAATCGTCGACGACCAAATCCTTTCCGATCGCCTCGATTCTTTGGCCTTGCGTAGGGATGTTGCATCCCTATGCATTTTCTATCGGATAAATCATGGGGAGTGCTCTGATGAATTGTTTGGGTTGATACCTGCTGGTGAATTTCACCATTGTACAACTCGTCAAACCGCCAAGTACCATCGACACCACCTTGATGGTTGGCGCTCCACCACAGTGCGTTTTTCACGAAACTTTCTACCCCGCACAACTACTTTGTGGAACGAGTTGTCGCCAGCGGTATTTCCAGACCGATACGACTTAGGGACCTTCAAGAAGAGAGCCTATTCCTTCCTTAAAGGCCGGCAACGCAATTGCGACTCAACCGATGTTGCAAATGTCCATGGGCTGCGGTGATCGCTTATCACCAGGTGACCCACATGCTCGTTTGACTCCTATTCCCATAAAAAAAAAAATCTACATTGTTCTTACACATTTAAGCGTCGAGAAACTTTTCGTCCTTTTGTCTACAGATTTTAATGTTTGATCTTAAGTGTAGAGCTTATTAGTTTAGCACTGTAAAAAATAAATAAAATTAGGTATGTTATGGTACAGTTACACATGATCATAAAATATCTTGCTTATTAGCATGCTCAAAACGAGCGTGCTCTTCAAACTGGCAATTTGCTTTTGTGCTAAACAAAAGCAAATTGTTTTTGAACGGTTTTATTTAGCTCGACCTGCCTGATTATGGACCGGCCTGAGAAATTCCTGCCTTACCGTCTCAATACGATAAGCTATTCACGACCACTAAAACTGTTCGCTGAACGCATAATTACTAAACTTATCAATAGGGAGACCACTCTTAACAATGTTTGAATTGATATTTATTGGTTATTTCTTGTTAAAATAAAATATTAATATTTTTTTTTGAATTATGGAATGCTCAATCGACATTATGTCAAAGTATTGTACTTCGTCTAAAAAAGCACCCTGTATATACGCGACCGTACCGCTTGATTGGTTTCGGATACAGAATCGCACACGCGACTGGTATTGATCCAAGTCCGCTATACGTTAAAAATAGGCAGGCCGCTACTGCCGCTAGCAGTTCGCCGACGTCTGCCCGACATCTCAATGTTGCCAGCCTTTGGGTAGTATGGGTATAGCGCGTTGGGCAATGTTGCCAGTCTTTGTCTTCTATGTGTATAGCGCGTTGGGTACGTCAGTCAGTCGTTCATTATGTTTTCATTTAATTTCGCGTCCACAAGTACTCGCATACATCGATGTAAACCATTCGCCTGTTATCCAACGGTCTAAACTGTAGATCATTCTTGTGTACTATTAACGCTGTCCTCACTCACAATCTTGCCCGTTTTTTTAATTTTTGTTTTGTATCATATGTACTTACAGAAAGTAAAAATGCAAACCTTGTTGATTTGCATTTTAACATTTCACTTCTCTTCTTGTATGCAAAATCAAAGTAGAACACAACCAGCTTATTTTTTGTATTTGCGTACATTCAATTAAATTTAAGAATCATTAATTTTAACTTTTTGAGTCAACATAACAAAGAAATATAATTTCTAAAGATTTGCGATGTACAAAGAGCGGTAATTTCATTTATTGAGTTCGTTAATTTTTTTTGTACCAATAGCGTTTTGTGTATTCTGTAATAAGTTTAGGGATAATGAACCTATTTTAGTGGCAAATTTTACCTAGCTTTAAGTATTTTTCAGCAATAAATTGGTTTAGACGAATCAAACTCTCTGGACGTCAGACAACATAATTAGAATAGGCAGGCTGGTGAGTAAATAGGGTAGTAAATATTTATGTTACTTTATGACACGGCTAACATGAGAGGTGTGTATCGACATTACCTTATGACTTGCTCTATATAACTTTTATCAATGTTGGAAACACTAAAGGTAGTGTCAGTGTATGTGGTCTAAATGAAGCTGCACGAAGCGTTTGTTGGCCTTTTTTGGCTGTCTACAAGAAGTAGGTATACGCGATAGTGTTGCCTAACATCACAGATTAAATAGTTAGAGTGGTGATTCTTTAGTCTAAAAGTGAAAATAAAGAATTATACCAGTACTATTGTTGTACAAATTAAAACTACGATGATTATCTATGGTAAATATTAATATGTTAAAGGGTTGAAATTTGTTATATATTGAACTAGCTGCTGCCGGCGACTACGTCTGCGTAGAATAGGCTGAAGGCGTAACATTCAGACAGAAACAAAGATATACATAAAAATATGTATATAAATTATAGCCTGTCTTATTCTGGTGTATAAGCTATATTATTGTAGTTTCATTAATATCCATTCAGTAGTATTTGCGTGAAAGAGTAACAAACATCCATCCATACATACAAACTTTCGCGTTTATGACATTAGCAAGGATAAGTAAGGTTTTCAAAATTAAGCTCAAATTGAACAATAAAGGCTATATTACATACAAATTAAAGAAGTTTTTTGGTGGTATACCAAATTAGTATTGGTGTGACGCCCCATTGATTATATGGCTTGTTTTATTACTTTTATTGGTTACCAATTCGCAACTTTAAAAAAAAAACATTGCCCTTACTTCAGGACAACACTATCCTGTGTTGCTAGTTACGTTTTACATACATAAATTTCACGTGGAAAAACACCCACATGTGAAAAAACTAGCTGTGGGTCACACAAATAGTTGTACAGTATTGGAATCGAACCCACGACTCTCGACGCCGAAGCCAATACCTTGGCGACTGCGCCACGGAGTCATTGAACTTTCGTACTACAAGGAGTCCTTGTCAATAAACAAAGCGTGGTGAGTATGAACTTTCGCCGGATCGCTTAAATTCTCTCTTACTCCTCGATGGAACACTCAGTTGATTCACGGCAAACGCGAGTACTGTCGCTTTCCATTACCAAAGAAGCCCGCGTTATTCGTTTGGATATAGAATTGTTGATAAATGTATCCTTTAAAATTTCTTTCATCTTGCCTTTGCAGCGCGATTGTACCTTATGATGTTTTTCCATTGACATATGCCACGTTGCGAAAGCAATGAACGCCATAAGCATTCAATTAGCTGTGGTCAATTAACGTCCCGAATTTAAATGACGTCGGTCGCGGTCCAATATCGGAGCCCTGAGAGGAAAATCGTACGCGAGTGATGTCCAGTAACCAGAGTTTTGTGCGTGAAATTACAGGGAATTTGTAGAGTACTTATATTTCTCCGCGTAATACCGTGGCGTCAATGCAATCGTTATGAAATAAATTGGGTTATTCAATGACGTAGCCGAATTTAAATTCTTGGTACAGCGGTTGATTACGCTACGCCACGCCTTCGGACCAGTAGACGGGAATAAAAAATAATCAACTTAAAATCAACCGCCACTATTTTATTGCAATGATTTAAATTTTAATCAATGCATTTGAATGGCGATTGGTGGTGCTAGCTAAGCTATTGGCTTTATTGAATGGTAGCAATTCAAACCCTACGGGTGTTGCAAAGATTCAATGAGCTTTATCGTTTAACATCGCCTAACATTATCAAAGTCGCTCAGCGAGCTATGGAGCAGGCTATGCTCGGTATTAACGGTAACGAAGACATCCGCAGTAGAACCAAGGTAACCGACATTGCTCAGAGGATTAGCAAGCTGAAGTGGCGATGGGCCGGCCCTATAGCTCGTAGAACCGATAACGTTGGGGAAGAAAGGTTCTCGAGTGGAAGCCTCGTACTGGCCATCGCAGTGTGGGACGACCCCCCACTAGATGGAGTGACGACCTGTGCAAATGTGCGGGAAGTCGATGGATGCAGGTGGCTCAGCATCGTGCTTCGTGGCAATCTGTGGGGGAGGCCTATGTTCAGCAGTGGACTCAAACAGGCTGAAATGATGATGATGATGATGAACATTATCATTTAACAACTACCAGCACGTTTTCTACCATCTCACATAAAAAAGTGTATGATTTAATAAAGCTTCAAACTACGACTTCATTAAGAAGGGACACCCCCTTTACGCAGTGTTTGTATTTTATTTGTTGCGCGTTACAAAACAGAAAAATCATCCGTTAACTACTAACCATAAAACAGTAAACCTCCGAAGTGGCCGCAAAACTGATTTAATTTGTATAGCTCTGTGCACGAAACTCGTTTGAATTTATTATTTATAGTGATGTCCACAGTGAACTCGTCATTGTGAGGTACTAGGGGCCTCTAGGGTGCTATTCGATAACTAGGTCACAGTTTTTCGGCCACCGGTGTGTCTGAAATGTTGGCGTAAAAAATTAGTCTTTTGGACTTTTTTGATCGTTTAAATATGAATTACATTTTCTCCACT